GCCTGAAAAAGCACACTAACAATTCTTTTCCATGTGCTAAGAAAGGACAGTAACTCGCTAGGAAAAAAATGTTATTTAGAAATAGGTGTGTTTGTCTAATCCCCAAAGCGCTGCCCCAGCTGTAGGATATGGCTGAGGCACAGGACCCTGGCACTGGGAGGGGATGTCCCCCGTGGCACAACCTCTTCAGAGGAGCAGGTTTAGGAATCCAGTTTAATTTGCCCAATATTGCCATCAGCAGAGTGATGTTCTGTGTTATTTTGAAAGAAGCAGCTGTGGAGCCCCTGACACTGGAAATCAGAATTGAGGCAGCCAAATCAGCCAGGAACAAATGGTGAGCTGGGCACACAGACAGCTCTGTCAGTTCAGTCTTGCCCTATTTTCTTGCTACTGTACTCGTATGGATACGGTTTTAGAAGTACTGCTTTGCTTTTGCAGATGCCTAGCAGTCTTCCTTTTCCCTCTAATTATGATACCAAAGTTTATCACTTAAGGGCTAGTGCAGATTTTCTTTCCTATCCTTGTTCATTCTGAAATGCAAGTGCTAGTCCCTGTACCCACTGCTGAATGACATATGCTTTACAACCCATGAATAGGTAATAAAGTCGGCAGGTGAATATCTCAGGGCTTAGTTGTGCTTGTCTGGTCCTTCACCTGCCTCTAGGCCTGCTACCTCAGGGCTGTGACCCTCACCAGCTGAAAGCAGGGTTGGCATTGCCTCAGGGTTCCCTTTCCTTTGCCTGATGTACGTGTGCTCTATAAATGAATGATTTAACATTTGCATGCACTCCCCAGTATGGGATGGTGATAACAAAACTTTTCAGCCTCATAAAGATTCTGTAAAGATGAACTCTGTAAAAAAGGAAGAAGACCTTGTGTAAGCTGCTGAAAGCAACATAAAAATAAGATTTCTCCCTACAGACATGAAGTGGCCAATGAATGTTGAAGAAAACTGCTTTCAGATGCTGTTGTATGCCTTACATTAAAACAGACAATCAGTTTATGTCACCAGTGTTTGGTGTTGGCTTATTTTCAAACAAACATAATCCATGAATTAGGATTTGCACAAACATGTTTTCTCACACAGTAAAAATGGGTGCCTGGCCAAACCTCTGAGGTGCTCCACCAGCACTGCTCACCAGCACTTTACTCCCAGCTGCCAGCAAAAAAAACCTGCTGCAGAAAGCTATGCAAACATCCACTGCTCTCTGGCTTCCAGAGGGTGTCAGCTTCACAGTGTGGTGCTTGGTAACATCGTGTGCCCGACAGCACTTGGGTCAGGGCACCTGCACAGTGGGCAGATAAAGGTGGGTGATGTGTTTCAGCAGTGGCAACAGCAACAGGGGGTCACCTCTGCTACTGCAGATTTTACAGTCATGGCATGCAGGCTCTTGCTCATTGCTGGTGAAAATGCAGAGCTAATGGTGGTGCCTATGTTGAAAAAGAGAGTTATGTAGCTGAGAATGCCCTCTATCAAATTGGTAGTTCCTGTCTGAAGCCCTGTAAGTTGTGGTTGAAAGGGAACCTCTCTGTTAGACATCTAATCTTGATCGAAAGCTCTAAGTGGCAGAAAATGCATCCTACTCACAGTATCCTGTCACAGTCATCCCTACAGCTTGAAGGTGTTTGCAGGCTGAACTCTGCTGACTTTTTAACTGCTGGCTTCAGGAGTGATTGTGCCTGGCCCCATGGGGTGAGTTCTGCTCCATCTCAGAGGGAAATTCAAATCTGCACCGGTTTGTCAGAATAAGAGCAAAGGAAAGCAGCTTTGCTTTTATTTTAAAGATTACTTTTCAAGGTGTTTGGTGTGATCTGTATTGCAAACATATGAGGAAGTGAAGAGAAATCAAAAATAGGGGTTTTGGATAACTCTTATTGCTAAAATAATAAAATCTGTGGATAAGCTTATAAACTAAATATATAGAAGTCCATATGTATATGAATTAATAGAATACCAAAGTCTGAATGAACACCTGTCATAGAATCATAGATTGGCTTGGGTTGGAAGGGACCCCAAGGATCATCAGTATCCAAGTTCCCTGCTACAGGCAGGGCCACCAACCTCCAGATCTGGTACTACACCAGGCTGCCCAGGGCCTCATGCAGTCTGGCCATCAACAGTTCCAGAGATGGGGCATCCATAGCTCCTCTGGGATATCAGTCTGCATAATCTTATTTGGATGGCTGTACTTGAGGGCAGTCCCACACATAGCTTTATGTTATAGTCCCTGTGACTATTATAGAAGTCCCCAGCAAATATGTTGTGCAGCTGGCACTCCTTCAAAGAGGTGTTGCACTATATGTTTGCCTGGGAAACTACAAATAATGAAATACCTGGTGCTGTGTGGAGCTGATGCTTTCTCCATGGACTGCATACTCCAGGCTGAACTCCTGCATCAAGCCTTGCTGGTGGGACAGCAGGCAGATGTCCCTTCTGAGATCTGTCTGCCATGTTTGGAAATATCCCTGGAGGTGCTCAAGGCCAGGCTGGATGGGGCCATAGGCATCCTGAGCTGGCTGGGTGGGCTTTGGGGTCTCTTCCAACCCAAGCCATTCTGTGATGTTATGGTCAAAGAAGCCACCAAGTGTCATCACCACACCAGTGAGCTGGAATGCAGCTGGTGCACTAAAACTTAGCACCTTTCCTTTAGGGTAATGCTGCTGGGGTAGCTCCTGTCATAGAATCATAGAATCACCAAGGTTGGAAAAGACCTACAACATAATCCAGTATAATCATCCATCTATCACCAATAGTTCTCACTAGACCATATCCCTTAACACAACGTGTAAATGTTTCTTGAACACCTCCAGGGTTGGTGACTCCACCACCTCCCTGGCAGCCCACAGTGAGGGGCCCAAAACTGGACACAGCACTCGAGGTGCAGCCTCACGAGAGCTGAGTACAGGGGGACAATCACTTCCCTGCTCCTGCTGGCAGCACCATTCCTGATGCAAGCCAGGATGCCATTGGCCTTCTTGGCCACCTGGGCACACTGCTGGCTCATGTTCATCCAAGCATTGACCAATACCCCCAGGTCCATTTCCTCTATGCAGCCTTGTTGAACCTCATCCCATTGCTTCAGCCCAGCTCTCCAGCCTGTCCAGATGCCTCTGCAGGGCCTCGCTACCCCCAGGCAGATCCACACTTCCAGCCAGCTTGGTGTCATCTGCAAACTTACTGAGGGTGCACTCAGTGCCCTCATCCAGGTCATCAATAAAGATCTTGAAGAGGACAGGCCCCAGCACCGACCCCTGGGGAACACCACTTGTGACAGGTCGCCAGCTGCATTTAGCTCCATTCACCACCACTCTCTGGGCCTGGCCCTACAGCCAGTTCCTTATGCAGCAAAGAGCGTACCAGTCCTCATCCTACCTGATGCTGCTTCTCCTTTTCATGAAGCTCAGCGTGTTACCAAGAACAGTATGGCTGGCTCGGTGTATCAAGGAGACTGCAAACATCTTAAGATCTAGGGATTTCTGTTTGTCATTTGTGGAAGAAAAGGAGAGAGATCATGAACAAGAGAGAGAGAAAAAGCTGAAGTAGGGAACAGAGAGAAAAATAAATGGCTCAGAGAAAGCAGAGGGACAGAGGAGGTGGAAGAGCAGCTACAAGGTAAGGCTCAGGCTCACAGCTCTGTTCTGCCCCAAAGATGTGGCATTTCTGATAACATGCTGCGGCTGAGGAGGGTTTGACATGGCGTTGCTGGATGTAATATGCCTTACTGAAGTTAGGGATGCCTGGCTGTCAGTTTGCACTGCCAGACATCAGCCAACTCAGTCCCTCCTACTTTTTCCATATACGCTGTCCTGAACACAGAGCTTTGCTCCTGAGGCAGTGCCTGAGCTTGGCAGCAGCAAGTTGTGTTTAGTAAATGTGTGGGATTGAACGTGATTTGCATCTTTTCCTAGTGACTGCACAGGCTGCATGGGACATGGTTGTTTTTCTGGACTCGCTGTGATTCAATGGAGTTCAGGCATTTTCATCATGAACAGCTGTGACTTGGGGAGGATCCATGTGTTTTCTCAATGGCTTTTCTCAATGTCAAGGGCTTCAGAGTCTCCTTCTAGCTCCTACACTTGTAATTATCATAGTATATAAATAAATACTGAGAGGCTTCCTCAGAACATTGCTCTGTGCCTAGAAAGACCTGACCTGGGGTTTGGCCCAGCCCCGGCTCTGCAGGAGCCACTCAGACCCAGCATTATGAGGATCTATGCCTGGTGCTGATCCCCTGAGCATCCCCATTCCTTCCGGAGGAGACCAAGAGCAGAAGGTCTACCACTCTGTGCTTTGCCACGTTTTTACTTGCCTGCAGCAGCACCAGTGTATTTTCCCTGAGGACAGTTGGAAAGTGAAACTCTCTTTGGTGAAGGTGCGGTAGGAACAGCAGGAGCGAGGGCTGTTACGTACTGCGTTTAGCAATCGGGGCAGAATGGATGTCTGCTGATTAGCACTTACATGATGCTGTGTATTCTCGGTATCACTGAAAATACACAAATCCATCCGTACACCATTTCCTATTAGATATGGGAGTCAGGAGTAGTGAAAAAGGAAGGAATTTGTTGTCTCACTGAAGCCGGTACAAGTTTCCACTTGGAGCTTCTTTCCGGCGCACGCTTCCCTGCCACACTGAGCGCTGATCCCACGCGAGGCTACAGCGTGAGCAACGGGCAGCAACATTAAGGCGAGGAAGCCGCTCGCAGAGCGCAGCCACCCCCCCCTCATCCTCGCGGATCCTCGTCCCATTCACGCTCTCTCCCGGGGGCAGCCGCGCCCCAGCCCCTGCCGCTCCCGAGAACCCCGCACCCCCGAGAGCAGCCTCCGGCCCCGGGTGGGCGGTGACGCGAGGGTCGGCGGCCCCGGCGGGGCGGGGGCTGCGAGGCGGTGGCGGCGAGGCACCTCCCTGCCCCGCCCGCCCCTCGCAGCTCTCGGAGCTCCCAGCTCGGAGCTCGTAGGCGCCGGCGGCGCGGCTCGGGGAGCAGCCGCTCGGGCCGGGATCATGGCGCGGCGGCGTGCCGTCGGGTGCCGGAGCGGGTCCCGGGTCGCGCCGCCGGGGCTCGCGTTGCTGCTGCTGCCGCTGTGGCTGTGCGGGGCGGCGGCGGGCGCGGGGCCGGTGTACAACCTGACGCTGGCGGTGGCCGAGGAGCTGCCGGCGGGGACGCTGGTGGGCGACATCAGCGCGGGGCTGCCGGCGGGTGCGGGGCCGCCGGGCGGCTTCCTGCTGTCGGAAGGCGGCGGCGAGTCGGCGCTGCTGGCCGATTTTCAGGTGCGGCCCGATACCGGCGAGATCCGCACGGCGCGACGTCTGGACAGGGAGCGCCGGGCGCGCTACAGCTTCGCGGCGGCCACGCTGCGTGGCGACGTGGTACGGGTGGAGATCACGGTGGCCGACGCCAACGACCACCCGCCGCGCTTCCCGCGGGGCAGCCTGCGGCTCGACGTGTCGGAGCTCAGCCCGCCCGGCAGCGCCTTCCGCCTGCCGCCCGCCAAAGACCCCGACGCCGGGCGCTTCGGCACGCAGGGCTACGCGCTGCTGGAGGCGGGCGGCGCGCCGGGAGAGCCTCCGCTCTTCGCGCTGCGCTGCGGTCGCCCGGCGGGGGGCTCCGCGCCCGGCCTGCCGGAGCTGGTGCTGCTGCGGCGACTGGACCGCGAGCGGGCGGCCGAGCACCGGCTGCTGCTGGAGGCGTGGGACGGCGGCAGCCCGCCGCGCCGCGGCCGCCTGCGCGTGGCCGTGCGAGTGCTGGACGAGAACGACAACGCGCCCGTCTTCGGCCGCGCCGAGTACAGCGCGCGGCTGCCCGAAAACGCGGCGCCGGGCACCGCCGTGTGCCGTCTGCGCGCCACCGACCCCGACCTGGGCGCCAACGGCCGCGTGCGCTACGCCATCAACCGGAGGCTGAGCGACCCCGGCGGCTTTTTCGCGGTGGGAGCGCTCAGCGGGGTGCTGCGGCTGCGCCGGCCGCTGGACCGCGAGGCGCGGGCGCTGCACCGCGTGGTGGTGGAGGCGAGGGACGGCGGCGCGCAGCCCGAGGTGTCGTCGGCGCTGGTGTCCGTGGCCGTGCTGGACGTGAACGACAACGCGCCCGCCATCCGCCTTCTCTTCCTGACCGAGAGCGGAGGCCCGCGCGTCTCCGAGGCAGCGCGGCTCGGCGCCTACGTGGCTCGCGTCTCCGTGTCGGACGCCGACGAGGCGGACGGCGGTGCCGGCGCGGTGCTGGCCCTGCGCGGCGGGGACGGCGCCTTCGCGCTGCGCCCGGCGGCCGCCGGCGTTTTCTTCCTGTGCGTGGCGGCGCCGCTGGACCGCGAGCGCCGCGAGCTCTACGCGCTGCGCCTGGTGGCCCGCGACGGCGGCGCCCCGCCGCTCTCTGCCGAGCGGGCGCTGCTGCTGCGCGTCGCCGACGTGAACGACGAGACGCCCGCTTTCGCGCGGGCCCGCTATCGCGCCGCCGTCTCGGAGGCAGCCGCTCCCGGCACGGCCGTGCTGCGCCTCAGCGCCTCGGACGGCGACGAGCCCGGCTCGCCCAACGCCGAAGTACGCTACGCGCTGGAGGGAGAGCCCGGCGCGCTGGCGCTGCTGCGCATCGACGCGCGGAGCGGCGCCGTCAGCACCCGCGGGCGCCTGGACCGCGAGCGCCGCGCCGCGCTGGAGCTGCGCGTGGTGGCCCGGGACGGCGGCCGCCCGCCGCGCTCCTCCTGGTGCCGCCTCAGCGTCCGCGTGCGGGACGACAACGATAACGAGCCCCGCTTCCAGCGCCGCGTCTACCTCGGCCGTCTGCCCGAGCACGCCGCGCCCGGCCGCTGCCCGCTGCAGGTGAGCCCGCGGCGGGGCGGGGGTGCGGGGATGGATGGCCCTCGTGCCGGGGTCGGAGCGCAGCTCCGGCGGCCGTCGGGCCCCGAACGGTTGAAGGGCGTCGCGTTTGACGCCGGGGCCCCGCGTGGTGCTGAAACGGGGAAAGCTTTTCTCCCTCGGTGGCTATCTTCATCACACTCCTCCTCCTGCCATGTGCATAGCGTCCCGTGCAGTGCGTTTACAAGGTGCCGCAACCTGCCTTTCATCCCGTCTTTTGCCAAGTTCTCCCTTTCTATAGGAAGCCGCTTGGAGGAATCCGGGAGGAATGAACGGCTTTGCACTTCGGGGACGCGGGGCTGTCAGCGGCTGTTGCAGGGGCTGCTCTGCTCCACTCATAGCCACAGGATTGCTGACAAGAGTCTGCCTCCCAGTACAGGGATTGCCCAGAAAGTGTCAATCTGTATCTCCCAAAACAAGAGTGGTTTCATTTATTTGCTTATTTATTTTTGCACTGGTCAAGTTAGAACCGTGCTGATGCAGTGACTGCATCACCAAAGCCTGGCAGCTGGAACTGGGTTTGGCACATGATGGTGTGTGCCTCTGTGAGCACTGCACCTCTGTGGGCTCAGAGCAATGCGTGTGACCAGTTGTCTCCTTGTGAGCCACTTTCCTACGTCTAATGCAGGGAATTGAGGAATAACACTTTGCCATTGGACTGCCTTGATAACACAGGTTGCATTTTCATTAACAATTTCATTTTCAAGCTTTTTAGGTGATTGTCCCCATGCTCACTGAAATGGGTCTGCCTAGTACATTGTGTCGCACAGTACTGACTTGCCAGGTGTGTCAGGACTTTCCATCTTTTGGCTGAAGTTGCACTCTGTTGTCTTGGTCTCTCTTTCAGGCAGCAGCCTAAAACTCAGTGCAGATGGCAGTAACCCAGCATGTCAGGTTGGCACCTCTTCCTTGGGCTGTGCCTTTTATCTTGGTAAGGCAGAGAAGCGCTAGTTCTGTCTCTTATGGAATCATGGAATTATGAGTTTGAGTTGGAAGGGACCATTGAAGGCCATCTGGTTCAACTCCTCTGCAAAGAACAGGGACACCTAAAGCTAGATCAGAATGCTCAGAGCCCTGGCCAGTCTAAGCTTGGATGTCTCCAGGGACGGGGCATCCCTGGCAACCCATCCCAGTGCCTCATCGCTCTCACTGTAAGAAACTTCTTCCTTATATCCAACCTAAATCTCCTTTTTTAGTTTGAAGCCATTTCTCCTCGTCACAGCAGACCCTGCTGAAGAGTCTGTTCCTTCCTTCTTACAGCCCCCTTTTAGATACTGAAAGGCATCCTCCATATACTCCTGAATACATGAGTATTTCTCCCTTAGGGGGCTGTGCAGAGCTTAGAATTAGAAAGAGGTTCAGTGCCTGTGGCAGCTTTCAAGTGAAATCCTACTTCAGACTTAGTGCAGGTGTTTGTTTTGTGTTACACCAGATGATGCACTCTGTGCATGTTGGGATGTAGGTGAAGCATGCTCTTGCTGCAGATCTGTGCTGGAGCTCAGGAGGTACTTATGTAAGCATGCCTCACGTTATTCTGCAGGTGAGTTCTTGTGAAAAGTGCAGTGCATTACATTAATGGCATCTTGAAGAGAACATAAATTGTCATGAATTAGTGACAGTCACATTAGCAGCTTTTCGTGGGTTTTGTTTCTAAATTCATTTTCTTCTATAGTTCATTAGAAAATGTGTTTATTGACTTTATAGCGATCTCTGCCAGAGGAGAGGAGGAGAAAAAACACGTCTTATCTGTCAAATGATAAAGGCCTACAGGCGTTCTGCTGTTAGGACAACTTGCACTTTATGGGTCCATTAAGAAGGCTGCTTTAACTCACTGCTTAGAGCTCTGTTCCCTTGCTTTAAAAATAACAGTCTTTCTGATGGTGAGATTGTGAGGCATTTGTGAACACAGCGACAGCAAATAAAGGTTTTGTTTAAAGCTCTGAAAGGTAACTTAGGTGCACTGGGAATTGCTCCACGATTAGGGAAAGGCCTGTGGCTTTCTAGAGAGCAGCATTTAAAGCTGTAATGCCTGTCAGAAGGATGCTTCCTTTTTGAGGGTTTTTAAAGTTCTTGGCATGTTTGAGAGAGGATGCTTATTCTTGCAGTTGCACCGTCAAAGGAGAGGGATCTACAAAAGGTCTTTCTATCATACAGCCATTCTTCAGGTTTTTCTCTGCTTTCTGCAAAAGAAAATTAAGAGGAAGAGGAGAAGGGGTTCTCTGCAGAATTTGGTTTTTGAGTGTTTTCTTCACGCTGCAGTTACTAGAATCAGAAATCAAGCCAGCCATGTAGGCTGTGAAGAGCAAAAGCTGACTGCTTAGAAGTGAGACTGAAGGAAGCTGGAAGAGACACATCTTTTAGCTTCTTTAGATCAACAGGTCTGGCTTCATGTATTCCTGTTGAAGAAGTCAGCTTCAGAGGAGACTTAAATGTTGTTTGTTGACTCAGAATGATACCTTTTAATACTAATGTAATTGAGTAGGGGGACCAAAAGCCAGGATTAACTAAATTTACAGCAAAGAAATGGATCATCTAGCCTGTAATTATAATGCAGAGTTACTTATTTGTTTATCCAATTCACATTACTGTTTTATGGGGTGTGACAGCAATTATCATATTGGCATTTATCTGTTAGGTATATGATTTAGTAGCAGTTACTTTTTATTAATTCACAGCAAATATTTCTTTGCTCTCCAGAAGCCATTCAGTGACTTCTCAACACATGATAGTCGCTTTGTGGAATAAAGTGAGTTTTCATGGCTGCCCAGAACTACGTGACATCTGTACGATGTTGTCAATGGTTTATGGGCTGGTTTGGCCCAGTTCTGTGACTGGCCTGTTGGAGGGACCCACAGATCCACACCCCAGAAAGGGATAAGGGATAAAGGGTAGAGAGATGGGCCCCAAAACAAAACAGCAGCCACGATCTGAGGAGAAGCAAACTAATTTAGTAAATAAGATATCGGAATGCAAGATAACACGCTATAACAATATAATGCAATTAAAATTGCAGCTAATAAATAGAGAAAAAAAAGAGAAAGAGTGTCTGAAAAAAACTGAAGGCTTTACACTAATGCTGAGACAAAACGTGAATAGTCGGGTTGAGCAGCAGGGAGGAGAGCCTGACAAAATCTCTCAAAAAGGGAAAAGAGACATCAGGTGGCTTTGTCAGGGATTTTATCTCCTCTCCGAACACAAAGTGTGCTGGGGTATGTAGCTCTTCTTCTCTTCTGAGACAGGTACCCAGAACTGCACTAACAGTTTAACTCCCAGTGCATTACATGATGCTATGATGTGCAATACCAATAACCAAAAGTCATAAAACCATGACAAATGTGCAGCATTGGGAGCTGTAAATGGCTGGATATGGTCTATCCATATATATTTATCAGATATGAATGTCAGCTCATCACCCACATGTATTTTCATTGATTGCTGGCTCAGCCTTTGCTGGAAGGTTTTAAAGCATTGGTAAATAAATGAGTTTTCTGTCTCCTAAGGTGCAGCAAACTGATGCATTACAGAGTGAGCCCTTATATTTAGTATGTTTTGCTGCTCAGTTCGTTCTTGAAAACAAACTGCACGTTGAAAAAACATGAATGATGCATTTGTTTGTTTTTTAAAATTCACAAGTCTGATTAAGAACCCACCTGGGAGTTTTACATGACTCAGTGCAATGTGTGCAGGGGAAGCTTGTCCTGCAGGGCATTAACAACAGGGTTAGTGACACCACAGAGCCTCACCCTTTGTGGCACCATCTGACAGGGAGAGTAAGGAGGCTGTATCCTAAGGGAAGATGCTTTTGTTGCAACCCCTTTTCCTCTGTTTACCAGTTTCTCATTGATATATCTATGGCCTTTGAAATGCTGCTTTGTGCAGAAGTGGGTTTTTCTTCTGCACCTGACAGCATGGCATTAGAGATGCATCTCTTTCCCTCCTTTTCCTTTATGTGTTGCATTTCTGCCAGACCCTAATAAGTCTGACTGCTGTGACTGAAATCTCAGGACACTGTCACACCTATTTACCTGCACTCACAAGCTGCACCGTTTTAAGAATGGAGCTGCTGTGATAACAACAACATCTGCTATAATAAAAGCAAGTGTACTGGCTTCCAGCCTTGACAGCTGTCTCAGTCTCCTGCCCTGACCTTGTGAGACTCCTGTGTAGTGTTTTTGTCTCCCCTTCCCCTCTCTCCCTCCTCCCCTTTGTACTCTGTGCAGGGAATTAGCTTGTCGTGCTTATGTCTGCTACACTTCCACTGCCTTGTGTCTACATCTGGTGCTGGGGAAGGGATGGCCGGAAGGGCAGTTTTTAACTAATGTCTGACTAAACGTGTGAGACAAACAGCTTGTGTGTGCCCTGGTGGTTTTTCTCCTTTACAGTCATAAATACACACATATGGTATAATTCATTGTCCAAGGAGCTGGATGTATGTTGCCAATCAGAGAAACTGCAGCAGACTCCTGCACTCAGCTCTGCTGCTTTATGTGCTGCACTGTCATTTGTTCACTAATACGTGAAACCTCAGTAACCACGATTTTACAGAACACATTCAGTTTTTCCTGTTGTGTTTTGCTCTGAATTCTGAACTCATGGCCAGACGTAGCAGTTGCAGTTCACTGGAGCCATTTCTCCTCTCCGCAGGGTGACTGCCTTGGTAGCAGACCTGTCGTTTGCACGAAACTAGGTTTTGTCATTGACCATCATCAAAGGCATGAATGTACTGATATCTTCATCTCTACTTCCATCTTAACACACGGCTATGTGTTAAACATTCTCCATAGACATACAGACACCTAATTACTTTTATTTAGGAAAACATTATTAATCTTTGCATAGACTATTGCTTTGGACATTGATAGCTATTTTATTGACTTCAGTTTGGTACTTTGAGCAGTACAATGCTTGATGACATATAAAAATGATACTTCCAGGTGGGAGTGATGTTGTGCCCTTACATGGGC